GATGGCATCAGGCTTTGTCAGCTCTGACTGGGCTGCGTTTAAAAACTCCTTTTTTTTTTTCTCTTTGCTAACAACTTACTCACTGTTTTTTTCAGCTCAAAAGCCCCTTGGTGCTTATTGTCCCCCGAGGAAGTGACTAACAGCCTGGTTCACAATGCGGGGTTTGCAAATCGCGATCTTTTCCAGTTTGTTGTTGTCTTGAAACAGTGGTGGGGAGAGGCGGTGAACGGGTTTGGAAGCTTTTAGAAGCTTTTGGAGGAGCAGTCAGAATTCCCTGCAGCTGCAGGGGTATTTAGGGGGATTAGTGCTGGAGCATGTTGGGTGATTCACTGTGCTGGGGAAACCTTGCAGAGACTGGGCCAGGACACGTTGCTCTGGGGTGTTGATTTTTCTCCAGAGCTCTGTTGCTGCTTTCCAGTGTTTAAGTGCATCATTTGTTCATGCAGTTCTCCCAGACAGACTGAGTTATTCTCATTTGGACTGTCTGTAATACAGGCAAATAATACCAGGTTTCATAGTTGTATTTTAGGCTTAAAATTGTCTTTGGCAAATCACTGTCTGCTGGGAGGTAAAGTGAGTTTTCCTCTCCCCCTCCCATTTATGGTATTTTAATTCATGTTTCTAGAACCCAAATCCTACTGCCAGAGCCCACCTTGCAGTCTGCACCCTTTCTTGCAATGTCTTCACCCTGACAGAGGGCAGAATTAAATGGGATATTAGGAAGGAATTCTCCCCTGTGAGGGTGGAGAGGCCCTGGCATGGGTTACCCAGAGAAGCTGTGGCTGCCCCATCCCTGCAAGTGTCCAAGGCCAGGTTGGGCAGGGCTTGGAGCAACCCGGAGTAGTGGAAGGTGTTTTTGGAATGAGGGGGCTTGGAATAAAATGAGCTGTAAGGTCCCTTCCAAGCCAAACCATTCTGTGATTTTAATTATGAACTTGCATACTGCAGGGAAGCTTGTGCAGTGCCACTGATATAGGAGACCCTCATTTCAGCCTCCTGAGGTGGCAGCCTTCTCCCAAAGAGTAATTTTTTAAATGGTTGTGATTCTTTTTACCGTCTCCCCTTTGATGTAAGCAGAGCATTTTAGTTTTACCAGTAACTTGCAAGCCATGAAAAGAGCAGTTGGGATTCACGTGCAGGTCAAATGACTTTAAAATTGAAGGTTAGGGAAGAAGCAAACTGAAACCTGAGTGGAGAAATGGGGCCTCACCAGCCCTTGTGTCTCCTGCTGAGAAAGGTGCGGGGTGCTGTGAAGAAATAAATGTGCTTGGTTCCCCTACCAAGCTCTTGATCACGACCACGTGTGCCACGTGAGAATTTGGGTATGCCCAGGACTCTCTTCCTTCCCATCTGTGCAGGAGGAAGCAGGAATTCAGGGAACTCATGAGCCACTTGAGGGGACTTTACTCAATAAAGTACAGCTGTAACTTCACAGCAGCTCTTGCAGCTCTGCATTTCCTCGTTCCTTTATTTTAGTCGTCCAGATGTGTCATAGCTTTAATTAACTTGAGACAACTGCTGTTAAAGTTTGGTGCCACTTTGCTGGGAGGCTTTTTCCCCCTTCTTTTTGTTACTGGCAATGAAATAACTGCATGGGAACACTGAGGATGCAAATGGCAGATAGGATGTCTGGGGGACTGACCCGTGAGTGGTGTGGCTTGTGGTTCGTGTTGGACAAAACGTGATCGAGAAATTTAATATCATGGAATCATAGAATGGTTTGGGTCGGAAGGGACCTTAAAGCTCATCTCATTCCAACCCCCTGCCACGGGCAGGGACACTTTCCACTATCCCAGGTGGCTCCAAGCCCCATCCAACCTGGCCTTGAACACCTCCAGGGATGAGGCAGCCACAGCTTCTCTGGTCAACCTGTGCCAGGGCCTCCCCACCCTCACAGAGTAGAATTTCTCTGGGAAGTCTAATCCAACCCTGCCCTCTTTCTGTTTAAAACCACTGCCCCTCGTCCCATCACTGTCTTTGGTGTTTCCTCCATAAGAAACACGTTATCCTTGTGTTTTGTTCCTTGGTTTCTGCAGGTGGTGAAGAAGTGCCCCGGGTGCCGCAGTGACGTGAAGAGGCAGCGATTGCTCCAGGTTTTCTTATGGTCATAATCCCACCCCCAGGAAGGAAGGGCAGCAAGCCCCCTGTGCCCAGCAGAAGGTGGTGGCTGTGCTCCAGCTCTCCCACGGAGCAGGAGCAGGATGGAGGTCCATGTAAATGCCTTTGATCCTTTCCTCTGGAATAGGATGCCCCAACACAGATCGTTTTCCTGCAGGGGGAGTCGGGTCTGAAAGGTCTCGCTGCAGGAAACAAAGCAGGACATTGTCATCTGTTAGAGCCAAGAAGGTTAACTTTTTACTTGATTTAGCCTGTGAATTCTCCTGTGGCCGCTCTTAGGCTGAAGTTTCATATCCTATGGGGCATTTGGCATTTGCCTGCCCTTCAGGTAATACCAGATCCTGGAAAAACCCCAGGAATGCTATTACAGTGGAACTGAGCTGGCTAAGCAGGCCAGATTACCCATCCATACCCCACTGGTGTTCCTGGAAGAGGTGATTCACATTCACTGTTTGGTGCTTGGCAGCAGCCACTGTCTCCAATAGCAGAAGATCCTGAAAGAATCATTTTTTACAGAAATATTCCAGTGGTGGATGGTGAGCAGAAGCTCCCTCTGGTCTCTGCACCCCAAAGCCTGATTCCATCTTCCATCCTGCTGGGATTTTTTGAAATGTGCTTCTAAGGAACCTTTATTCTCTGCTCAGTGCTGGTATTTCCAGGTGTCTGCATTATCTGATGTTTGTTTTCCAGGAATAAAAAGGAACTAATCAGTCCAAAACTTAAAAATATAGCATGTTAGATAGGTTAAAAAAAATTTCCTTAATACTTCCATTCTCTGTGAGTAGTGGGTATAAGTGGTTAACCTGGGAAATTGTATCAATTTTAAATCTAACATAGCTACTGTAAATAAGGATGTAAAAAAAAAATTATCTTATTTGGGTTTGGTTTTATATATAAAAAAAAAAATTTAAAAGAAATTACCAAATATAAAAAATATCAGGTATTTGGTCTCAATGGTCCTGGTAGGAGCAAGTAGAAAGCTTATGCCCTGTTGGTGGTTTTCATATCCATGGAATTCGGAAAATTTTATTCTAATAAAATTTTATTGTTAATAATTGATAAAACTGAAAAGCCAGTTGCGTTTTAACAAAGGTTCTTATTTCCCTGGTTATAGAATTCAAAACTTCGGTGTCACCAAAGCAACTCCATTCCTGAAAGGTGCCTAATTTTATTTGTTGGTCAAGGGGTCGAACCTTCACGAGTTGTGCCGAGTGCTTTCCTTCATCCTTGGTTCTCCTTTCCTTTTCTAACAGCTCCTGCATTGTTGAAATGGTTTTTTTTAATAAATAAAAGATGTTCCCAGAGGCAGCAAATCAAAGGTTTTACCTTTTGGGGCTGATCTGGATTTTCTGTCTGGGACAAAGTCCCTCAGCTGCTCCCAAGCAGGTCCCTGTCACTCCTTTTTGATGCTCATATTCAATTCTGGTGTTCCCTCAGTCAGGACAAGCAGTAAAATGTCATTTATTGGTGGATAGTTCAGTGCCTGGTTTGCTCTGAAGGTCTCTCCCAGGAAAGCTGCAGCTGACTGTTCGTGCCACTGGAGGGAAACCACAGCACAGCCATGAGCTCTGAGCATCTTCAGGGGCAGTGCCACATAGTTTTGGTCAGTTTTGCTGATGGAAATTACCTGCTATGGGCTCCAAAAATGCTGCCAGATGCCGCAAGACTAAAGGAAAGACTTAAAAAGCTGCGTGGGATTGGCTGGGACAAATATTATTACCCTTTTTTTTTTTTTTTTTTTCCCTTCAACCAAAATACCTTTCTGGCTGTGCTTTTTCCTGGAGTTGTTTTAGGCTGGAGACTGTTCCTAGCTGGGAATGCTCCATTGTTAGTGACACAGGGCAGAGAAACAATGCTGTTCCAGTAACTCCTTGCCTTTCTTGTACTGAGGAGCAAACTTGCTGAGGGTACATTCTGTCCCTTCTTCCTGGAAATTCTTTCTCTCTGTTCTTGCCTTTGGCTTATCTGCACTCACTTAGTTTTAATAAGGAACTGAATTTAATGAGTTTGTCATTCCTGACCTGCCTTGGAGAGGACGTCTCAAGATTTCTACCTTTGTAGGTCACTGGGCATCACCAAATAGCAACCTTGTTACCTGCTGGGAGGGTGTTTATGTTGGGTTTAGATTGGATATCAGGCAGGAAGGAATTCCTCCCTGTGAGGGTGGGCAGGCCCTGGCACAGGTTGCCCAGAGAAGCTGTGGCTGCCCCATCCCTGGTAGTGTCCGAGGCCAGGTTGGATGGAGCTCAGAGCAACTTGGGATAGTGAAAAGTGTTCTTTCCCATGGCAGGGGGTTGGAATGAGATGAGCTTTAAGGTCCCTTCCAAGCCAAGCCATTCTGTGATTCTGTGACACTGGAAGAAGAGGGTCCCCCGCTGTCAGGATATTCTGTCATCTTGAAACTGGTTGAATTTACAAGAAGGCGAGACAGAAGGCAGTTCGTTACTTATGAAGGCAAGAAAGTGAAAACAAGAATTGTTTCAGCAGAATCTGTATTGCTTTTAAGTGCTTAGAGGAATTGATGCAAACTATTGAATGCTTGGGGAAAGGAAAACCTATCCTGGACACTCCTTGCTGATTTTTGGAAGCAAATGACACATGGGCTACATCTCAAGAAGGAAGTAGATATTAATCTCTTAGTTGCTCCTGCCTTGCAGTGCTATGACTAGACCTGGAACATTGTCTGAAATTTTAGTGGTGTGTCATGGAACAAACCTTTCCTACTGGTTTTCACTCCCTGCCTCCCAAAAAAAGCTGGAAGGACTCAGGAAAGAAACTAAAAAAAAAAAACAAACCAAATGTTTTATTAGGAAAGAGATGAACCCTGTCTTTGTTTGGCAAAGCTGGCTACTGAGAAATTTCTTTGCTTTGTGGATTTTCTCTGAGCATTAGTGAGAAACCTGATTTTGCAGGAATAGTTTCAGAAAGTGGTGTTACTGAACGCCCTGAAGTGTGAAATGATGCCCTGAGTGAAGTCAGAGTCATAGGAATATGATGCAGAATTCCTTTTCTATGCTACCTCCAGAGGTCACAGAGTCAGCAGTGAGCAATGTTGTTGCTTTCTGATGATCAGGCAGTGACCAATAAACTTGCTCTGGGAGGTTTGTTGGGCCAGTAGAACAAGAGACAGAAAAAGATTGATTGAAGGTTGTTCTGCCAGACTCTGATCTCCTCGAAAGTCGGAGGCTGCCTGGAAGCCCTTTCTGTCTCACTAATGTGGTGTTTCTCTCTCCAGAAACGTCCACCTGACACTTTTTTGTCCCTGATAAATTCGCAACAGAAATAGTTGCTGGTGCAGGCACTGCAGTGTGGAGAGGAGCTGCGTACTCAGAGTATTGTGTCCATCCCAGCAGGTGCATGGCACGGACACAGGGACTGCCATCAGGAAGTACCACCTGCCTTTGCTTCACGTACCTTGTGGGTTCCACGTGAAACCCAGGGTAGGAAAACTGCGGCCGTGTCTCTGCCTCTGGAGAGGGAAACGCCTGCCTTTCCCCCGCTGCAGCTCTCCAGCCAGGTGAGCTCTGAGCTGGGCTTCCTTCTGGGTCCAGTCTAGGGGTGAGTCTCATCCAAAAAAAAACCCCATCCCTCAAGGGGCTGTGCCTCAGTCTCCGGGGAGTGCTGGGAGATGAGTTTACTAATCCCTGAGATGATGCATACTGACGAAGCAAAGCCCTGTCAGTCTCCAGCTCCAGAATTATGTCAAAACAAGTTACAAATCATCAGGATTGGTTTGAAGAGCTACAGGGGATTGAGATAAGCTCGCAGTAAAATTAAAAACCATTTTGGAGTGGCGTGTGAAACTCAGCCTGTCACCTGTTCTGTGTAAAGTGCAAATAAACACAGCCCAGACCCTGCTGTCAGACCAGAGTTCTGACCCCCCTTGGCTCCTGCTGGAGTTTGAGGACTTTCTTTAACCTTGGTGGGTGGAAACTGAACTTACTGGAAGGAGATTTGGATTCTTCCTGACCATTAAGGTTTCCTTCTCCTTCCGGGTAGCAGAGAACTAGGTTTGATTTTCTTGGTGAATGGTGTGTTTTTCTTGTAGGTTTGATCTTTAAGTGTTAAGAATGAAGTCCAGGAGAGTCTCCATTCTCAGCCCCACTGACTGACAGCTGGAGGTGAGAGGCTCCTTCCCCTCTTGCAGAAGGCAAATGCAGGGTTGTTAATTCTCTGTACTGATCTGCAAAATGATGTGGCTGCTCCTGGGGAGAAAACCACCCTGTCCTCTCAGGTCCTCACTGTGGATCCCCCACATTTCCAGAGATTCTGCATTTGTTTTTTTGAGCATGTGATCTGTTTTTGACTCTTCACCAATGCCTCTTCAGAGGGGGAGCAGGCAGCAGAGCGTGCTCTGCCCAGCACTGTACCTGCAAGGCTGAGTTCAGCCTCCACTGAAATCCTTGAGGTCCCAGACTTATGGCAGTGCCACCTGTGAGGGATTGAAGTGCTGACTGGATGTTGTGGTCCTACGGAAGGTACCTGTGAGTGTTCAGTGTTACAGCTGGACACGGTGTCCTCCTCGGTGCTCCTGACAGGACAGAGCTGGAGGTTTGAGCCGGCTTTAGGAATGCAGTGCCTGAGCACTGAGGTCGGGGCTGTTTTGGAAGGCTCGGTGTCCTCGGAGGGTGAGGGACTGGGATGGGGTCTCGCTCCAGAGCCCCTGGCAGAGCCGGGGGAATGATCCCCACAGCCAGTTCCACCACCTCCAGCCCGGGCCAGAATCGGCCCCTCGGGGCTGTCTTTGGGGCGCGCAAACTGTGCCCTGACAGCGAGCGGCAACTGCTGTTCCTGGGAAGTTATTTGGCATTTACAGCCCCGGGGAACGGGGCTCTCGCGGGGGAATTTCCTCGCCTTTCCCCTGCCAGAAAACAATTCCACACCGACCTCCTGTAGAACCTACAGAGCTCTGAAAAACCGTGCGACTCCCACCTGCCTCCTTCCTCCGCACAGGCAAAAAAGCGCTTGATCGCCCGGAAAGCTTCACTTTTAGAGGCAAACGCAGAAACGAGAGCGAAAGCGGCGCTCGGGAAAAGGGGGAGCGCCGGGACGGGAAAGCGGAGCCGGTGCCGCCGCAACGAGGGGTCCGGGAAGGCTTCGGGGTCCGGGATGGAGTCACGGGGGGCGGGAGAGGTGGGAGGGGGGCCGGGATGGAGCAGTCGCTTGCGCAAGAGGGGTCTCTCCCACGAGGGGAGGAAGAGAGGAGGGAGACCCTGGCTGCTGCCCCCCCACTTCACCCGCTTCTGCTCCCCCTCGGGCTGGGGATGACTTTCCCTCACCCAGGGCGATTACGCGTGTCGGCGCTGCGTGGGTGTGCGGTCAGAGCCTCCCACCCGCAGCCGCTATAAGGCTCTGCTCCGTCCCCGGGCTGGGAAGAGCCGGCATCTCCCTCGGAGGACGGGCTGACTCGGAGGAAAGCAGGCGAGGAAACGCGGTCTTTCCCAACAGCCCTTCCTTATCAGCTCCTCCCAACAGCCCTTTCCTATCTGCCCTTCCCATTCTCCCGCTTTGTGCTTTATTGCTGGCCGGCTGGATTGGCCCCGCTGCCGCCGAGAGGAGCTCCAGCCCAGCCGGCACCAGCCCCTGAGAAACCTTCTCTGTCTCCTCAGGTTTGAGATCCCCGCGCTCAGAAGCCCCACGGTGTGATGCCATCCTGCCACATGCCGAGTTCGAGGCATCCGTCCAAGGTAAAGTCTCGTCTGCTCGTCAGGTTGGGCACACGTGCTTTGAAAAGGAAAGGGAGGATAAACAAGCTCTGGGATTCTCCAGTGGTATCCCGAGCATCTGGGTTTCAAAAAAGTCTGGAGGGTTCCAATGGAGCCTGCTATGTATTTCATGGTTTGGAAAACTTCCCTTCTCCTTCTTGATCTGCCAAGGTCTCTCTATCCCCAAACAGGGGGAACTGAGTGGGGTGAAAGAGGGGAATGTACTGGACCTGCTTTGAGTTCTGAAGGAGGGGTTATGAGGCATCACAAATGGATTTGGGAAGGATGCTCTGTCACCTGGGATGGCAAGGGAGGGAGCAGTGGGGAGGCACTGGGGGCAGCACCTCCTCCCCGGTACCACCGATGCTTTGTCCCTGGGGCTGGGGACAGCACAGGGGAGGGAGGATAACCTCTTGTACCTCCAGCAATAACAAGTTCTGTAACAGCAGCAGCCGCGTTTGCTGCTCCCGCCTCTGCCAGAGGACGAGCTCAGGGCTCTTTGCGCTGTCTTTGCCGTAGTGGATGTTCCCCCCACTCCTCCTATTCCTGGCTGAGCTCGGCTGCAGCGCCCAGCCCACGTACCCATGGAAGGACGCTGTGACGGGCGAGAGGCTCACATGCCAGCAGTGCCCGCCGGGGACCTTCGTGTCGCGGCACTGCAGCAGGGACAGCCCGACCCTGTGCGAGCCCTGCCCGGAGCTGCACTACACGCAGTACTGGAATTACCTGGAGAAGTGCCGGTACTGCAACGTGATCTGCGGGGAGAAGCAGGTGGAGGTGCAGCAGTGCGATGCCACGCACAACCGCGTCTGCCAGTGCCAGGAGGGGTACTACTCGGACATGGAGCTGTGCATCAGGCACTCCGAGTGCCCGCCGGGCTCCGGCGTGGAGAAACCAGGTAAATACCCGGACAGGCGGTGCTGTGCATGCTCTCAAGGCTCTTGTCACATCCCAAAATCCCCGCTGGAGCTAAAAGCCAAGGAGAAATGCAACAGCCAATGCTTACCCATAGCCTGATCTACTCCCTTTTAGCTCACTGTCACACTGCCATCCTCGCTGGCATGTGAAACTGCTCCTACTCTTTTTTTTCCCAAGGAGGAATTTGGTTGGGTTTTTCCCCAGCTTTCACTTTGGAAGCCTGTGAAATCCCCAGCACCTCACTTAGGTGGGATGTGGCAGTCCCAGGTACCTGCCTCACCTGCAGCAACAGGCTGTGACTTGCCCATCCTCAGAACAGCTGCTGGCCCTGTGTGGCTCTGGACAGGTGGGAAGGTCCAAGTTGCTCCTGCTCCTCCAAGAGGTCCCTTCTGCCTGCATCAGGTAGCCCAAGGAGCTGGGAATGCTGATTGTCTGGACTGAAAAAGGTGGCTGATGATGCAAGAGCAGGGCTGGTGGATGTGTGTAGCCCCGGGGCTGGATTTTGTGGGGTTTTATTGAGCAATTTGGAGAACACTTTGTGTTGAAAACATGCAGTGGATACATGGCCAGGTTCCAAACCAACCCATAAAATCAGCCTTATTTCGATTCACGAGTCTGAGACTCCATCTCCTTCTGTGATGTAACTCCCAAGAGATTTTAGGGGCTTTATTTTCCCATTGTTTCCCCAGTACAGATTTCTCTGGTCCCTTAGTTGCTCTGTGTGTATGTGTGCAAACTGTCTGAAAATACAAGTTGCCTGCAAGTGGCTTTCCCTCTTTTCCCTTTTTCTTGCTCCCCCCTGCTCACCAAGGACCAGGGTCTGCCTGGAAACCACAGCTGGGTACAAACAAACCAGCAAACCCAGCAGTATCTTGCTTAATGCTTTGAAGTGCAGAGGCTTTTGAAGTCCTTCCATCCACGGCATTGCAGAGCTCCAGGCTCCCCTGCCAGAGGAGAAATACCTGTTGTCTTCAGCTGGTGCTGAAGGTTGAGGTTTGGGGTTCAATTTTCTGTAGGACATGACAAAATGCAGTAATGCAGTGAAAGGGGAAGCAGGGCTCCAAGCAATAGAGGGAAGCTCTTTGGAATTAAACATTGCGTTTGTCTGGAGGGTTGGCTGCAGGACTAAGGAGCTGTGTGAGCAAGCTGAGCATTTAAGGAGAAGCAATTTTTTTGGTTTTGGTTTTTTTTGTTATTATAATTTCTTTTTTACAAATGGCTTCTTGTGTGGGGAGGGCTGCACCTCAGCCCAGCCACCTGAACCCCACAGCAAGGACCCCAGGGCTGTCAGTGCTGGTGTCTGGATGGGGGGCTTTGATCCCCCAGGGGGACATCAGCCTCTTTGGGATTTCCCATAGTAGTGGCTCAGGTGTTGGGGTCATAGCTGGGCTGGCTGGGACTTAGAACGATTTGGGTTGAGAGGGACCTGAAAGATCAGACTTCTCTTAGGAAAGCCAAAGCAACAGCCTAAAGTGGGGTGTGACAAGGTAGAAATTGTGTTTGTAACTAGATCTGTGAAAAGAAGGTGAAAGGGGTGTGAAATCTGCTGTGTCAGGGCCCCTCCCTCTGCTCCCAGGGAACGTGCAAGACGCCTGGTGCAATCCTGGCTGCGTGGCACTGTCCCTGTGACACCACGGGCAGGGCTGGCCCGGAGCCGGTGTGGGAAGTGACAAAGTGCTTTCATCTCCTCAGCGACTTTTACTTTCACTTGGCCGGGAGCCTCTGGCTCCACTGGGAACTGAAGGGCTGGTTTGGCAGCTCAGCCACTGGCCCTTTTCATAGCAGAGGAGGTGTCCTCTTGTGTCGGGGGCTGGTGACAATTTACCAGCACTGGTTTGGGAGAAGGCTGGGGAAAGCATTGCTGTTCGCCCCACACAAGGACGTGCAATGCCCAGGGGAGTTACAGGCAGTGATCATTTCCAAAACAGCACCCTCACAACTCCAGTGGTGTCTGGCATCAGCTCCTGCCTCTGCTCCCAGCTTGTCACCTGACGGTCCCCTGGTCTTTCCGTGCACAGGTACCCCCTCTGAGGACACCAAGTGCCACGAGTGCCCCCCGGGCTCCTTCTCCTCCAACTCCAGCACTGCCCCGTGCCAGCCACACCAGGACTGTGAGCAGCAGGGGAAGGTGACCAACGTTCAGGGCAACAGGTTCCACGACACCCTCTGCACCTCCTGCAGACTGGGGAGAGGCAACACCACGCAGGGAGCAGGTGAGCCGCGGCTCTGTGGGCACAGGGGGTGCCAGGACAAGAGCAAACTTTCTGGTGATTTTCTCCTACTTAGATACAAAATGAGGTCGTAAAATGTTTGGAAATGGTCTGTAAAAGTATGGAGTGATCCATAATTAATAGTAATTATAGATAGAATATAGTCTGTCTGCCTTCCTCCCCCTCCAGTGTCAGTCCCATAGTGCAAGGACAGGTTGCTGGGCTCAAGCAGTGGCCACCACTGGGTGAGAACAAAGAGCTGGCAGTAAAATCCTGCTGGATCTTACCAGGAACAACTGGAAATGCTGGGACAGGAGGACAGTTTTGGCAGCCTTTTGACTGTAGCTGATAACTGATGTCTGATGGTCAGGCAAACAGCCAAGGTGTGAAGGGCTGAGGCATCCAGCTTGGCTCCTGGCATGGATCCTGGGCTCCCTTTTCCCGGGCTTCAGCCTGTTTTCTGGAAGCTCTTATTGCAGCATAGCCTGGTCTCGTGCAGGTTGAAAAGAGCAGAGTCCAGGGTTAATCAGAGCTGGGTTTAGGGTGGATTTTGACCTGTCAGCTGAAAAAGTAGAGACATGATGTCAACCTCGTCAACACAGTGGTACAAATGAGCCTCAGTGGAGGTGGAGGGTCAGGCAGGAGCAGCCACTGGGCACAGATCAGAGAATCCCAGAACCCTGGCTTGGGAGGAGACCTCAAGGACCATCTGGTCCAACCTTTCCTGGCAAAAGAACAGGTGCAGGGCAGAGCAAAGGGCTGGCTCCAGGGGTGATTTGTGACAGCGGAGGAGGCTGTTTTCCCCATCAGCTCTCACCTTTCCATCCTCTCCTGGCACCACCAACCCAGACATTTCTCCTTACGAATCCTGACTCACACCATGAGTTCCTTGCCAGCAGCATGATCCCTCTGCAGAGAGATGGAAAGCTCTGTCATCAGACATGGTCCTGGGTGTGGGGAGTGGTCAGGTGGGAGCAGCGTCAGCAGCACGTGCGTCAGACAATGACACCACAGCCAGACCAGCCCTTTGCAGCTATTTATAGAGAGGAGGCCCCAGCAATGAGAGCTGAAGGGTATTTTTAAATCTAGTTCGTCATGATTCCGCTCAGGAGGCACTCAGGGACCTGCTCATCATCAGCCTGAGCAGTGGAGCCCAACCCACCCACTATAGCCAGTGAAACCGTTCCCAGTTTGCAACAGCACGAAACTGAGCTAATCTCTCTCTCCTTAATTGAGTAATCCTTTGGCCTTGGTCTCTTGAAAATTCTTTGTTTTCATTCCTTATGCTGGATGCCCTCCAGCAGCTTCCACGGGTTGGGGCTGGATCTGTCCCAGTGCCCTGATTGGGGCTGCACTCGGGGCTCGTCCTGTCACGAGATGTACAAATCTGCATGGGAGAACAGGAACTCACAGGAAAAATAATATGTAAACACTTAGTGCAACTACTCCTGATTTTTCTGAACTTTCCCTCTTCCTCTCCTCCCCGACAGGGAGGAGCCTGGAGTAGGTACATTTACTTTTTTTTCGGAATTACAGGAACTTTTTACATGTTGTTTTCCAACTGCCACGTGTAGCACGGGTCACTGGCGGGAAGTTCAACCTTCCACTAGAACAGGTTGCTCCAAGCCCCATCCAACCTGGCCTTGAACACTTCCAGGAATAGGGGGAATCCACCACTTCCCTGGGCAGATGTTCCACGGAGAGGCTTAGCGGGGCTGTGTCCTGCTCTCCCGTGTCCCAGGCTCGCTCCCCTCTAACCACCAGCTATTTTTCCCCCCACCAGCTGTAGAGGACGACGACTGCGAGCAAGCCATGATTGACTTCGTGGTGTATCAGAACATCCCCGTCAAGAAGCTGAAGCGCCTGCAGCAGATCCTGGAGCGCTCACCAAGGAAGCACCAAACATGGACCAGGGCAGCCATCCAGGAGAAATTCTGGACTTTCCTCATTCACAAGAAAGAGGAGCACTACGAGGTGACCAAGGAGCTGCTGGACGCGCTGCGCGTTGTCAAGCTCCACTCCATCGAGGAGAAGGTCCGCAAGCGCTTCCTGCTGCCCTGAGAGCACGAACTGGACTTTTCGGGTGCTTTTCAGTTTGTTTGTTTTTTTTTTTTCCCTTCTGTGGCTTTGTTATTCATCTTTCCAAATGTAACTTGGAAAGCAGCATGAGAGACGAGTGATGGCTTGGAGTGACACCGTGCCGTGGCAGCGGTGGGATGGGATGTGTGAGCAGCAGTGTCCCTACACCAGCACAGCTCCTGAGAGCTCTCCAGGTGTTGGCCACTGATTTTCCAGCCCAGAGTTTTATCAGTAGAAAAACCTGCACCCAGGGTCATTATTTCTGCGAAGAACCCTGTCCTCTTTATAGAAAACTGTCTGGCTTTGTTTTAAACTGTGTAAGTTTGGGCTTGTTGGAGGGTTTAGTTATGCAACAGCATTTTCCACAGAGGATTCACTTACATTTGTTTGTCACGCTTTTGTTTGAGAAGGGAGTTTGCTGCTGAGGCACAGGGTGAGGGAAGATGTCCCAAAGTCACTGGTAGACCCAGCTTGAAATGTATTTCTGAACTACCTATTTTTACACCGTGTGTGAAAGTTGTTTTCTAAAGAAAGAAACCAAAGGAGTTATTTTATTGTACAATTCTCTGTCACCAGAGTCCTTTCCCAGTCTCTTTTGGAGGTGATGTTGGGAGTCCCAGACTGTCATATCTGACCCTGCTTACCCTTGCCTGTTTTTTGCACATTCTTCTCCCCATGCTGGCATCCCTGCTCATGGCAGGGGGTTGGAATGAGAGGAACTTTAAGGTCCCTTCCAGCCCAAACCATTCTGTGATTTGGTGATCACACAACACCAACCATCCCAGAGCCCACCAACTCCAGCCCCTGTGAGCCCCAGTAAGGCTGTGTGCCAGTGGGATGCAGCCTGTCTGCACTGGGACTTGTGGCCAGGGTGAAGCTCAGGTCTCTTGGCTCAACACAACCACATCCCCTCTGAGCCCCAGGTTTGTTCCCAGACCCAACCAGACACTGCAGCAAGTGAAGAGTTGCTCAGTCAGCCAAGAACCAGGCTTGGGTCACTTGTGCTGACTGCAGGAGGGTTTTTTAAGCAGGTGTTCCTTAGGAAAGTCAACAAGAGTGACCCCCTCCAGGCATTTTCCAGCCTGTAACAATGATGATGCAGTTACATTTGTCTTGAATGAGTTGGACTTTTTATAGCCCTTTTTAACTAAGCAGTTGCCAGGAATACTTTGTGGTTCAAAAGAGGAATATTTTCCCCCAGCTTGGACCTATTTAAAGCTCTCTGAAGTGTGTGCTATGTGGAAGTGCCCCTGCACTTCCCCCACGTGAGGAAACTGGGGGGAAGCTGAATAACTGAGTACAGGAGGGGATTTTAACCTCTCCTTGCTGCCCACAGACACATCCCAGGCTCTTCCTGCTGCAGTGACAAGTTTATCCGTGGCAATCTGGATGAACAGGGATGATCCCAGGGGGCAGTTCCTGCCTATTTGATGCTCCATAGCTCCATAGTCTCTGGAGGTCTGCTCCCACCTGCCTGGCACCATGGGCTTGAACTGGGGATCTCAGTCTTGCAACTGTCTCATCCCGATTTTGGGCTCTGGGAAGCAGCTCAGTGATCCTGATGTTGCCCTGGGCCAGTTCACCAGGGACAAAGAGAAGCAAATAGCTCAAAAGCAGCAGAGGGGATCCTTCACTTGCACCTCTGTGTTGAGCCAGGACTGATCCTGGCAATCCCCTCAGTCCTGGCAATCAGCTTGAAGCTTCCTCAAGCCTTGCCTTGAAATCCTACCAGGGAGCTTCACAGGGCTTCCCAGTGCTCAGTTATCACCACATCTGATCTCTGCCCTTCCCAGTTGCTTTATCCCAGTGGGATGAAGCTCAGTCCCCAGGTGTCACTTACTCCAAGTCCCTTGGCAGGAGAGAAGTGCTGCTGGCACAGGCCGGGAGCAGCTGGGGCAGGAGATGAAGGGGATTTCCTTTGGAGCACTGTGAGAGTTGAAGCACAGCTGCAGCAGCTTGCTCTGAGGCAGAGTGCAAGGCATGATGCCCAGAGCTGATGGATTGAAGGTAGGAGGAGCCAGAGCCTCCAGCATTGGCTGTGGCTCCTTGAGGGATTCCCATCCCGCTGCACTGCAGTTAGTGCTGACTCAGCACGAAGGATTCGGTGTCCTCAGTCTGAAATGGAACAAGAACGGAGGGTTGTTGGTGCAGAAACCACCTCCTGTTCTTCATCCACACCACCATAGCTTCTTCAAATATGTGGAAGTTGAGGGGGAGGGAAAATGGGAATATTATTGGCAAGCAGCTGATAATCGTTGTCTTAGATCTTGGTTTAGTTGGGTGACTTGAAGAGAAAGACGGGCCTTTTCTGTGTATTTTTCTGTGATAGAAGACCTCAGTGCTGAGGTGGAAGTCCCTGTGGGGCCTGGTGGCTGAGCTCAGGGTCCTGGGACACTTCATGTGGTCCTTGGAGCTTGCTGCCCTTCCCACCAGCAAGGCAAAAACCTGGGGTGTGGGCTGGAGGCTTCCAGCAGCTACACAGAGAGCCAGCTCTGGTTCCTGGGCTCCTGGATGAGCTGTGGTTGTTCTGGCAGTGTTTCATGTCCGGGGTCTCCATGGGGGTCTGGGTCCAACCAGGCACTGGCAGAGGTGGAAGCAGAGTGGCCATAGAGAAGAGCCCAGGAAATGTTTTTTTTTTTTTGCTGAACGTTGGTGCAGAGGAGGGAAGTTTTGGTGTTTGGGGTTTTTTTTATTATTTTGGGGGGTTTTACAAACCATCATGAGTGCTCTGTCCCATCTGGACACCACAGTCTGCACAGGCCCTTTGTCCCTTCAGATAGAGCAGATGCAGCAGATGTTTTGACAGGCTTGCTCTCACCCAGAGGTTTGCCAAAGTTCACAGCCCACAGCTGTGACTCCGAGGGGTTAAACACCCCATGGAGGTGTGGAAGGGAGAGGAGAGCCTTGGCTACTCCCCATCTTCCTGAGCAGTGATGCCTTGCTGAGCCTCGTGGCCCTCCCAGCACGAAGTGTGGGCCCACCATGTGTGACCTCTCCTTGGAGGGGGACGACGGATGTCTGGCACCCGTGTGCTGTGCCAGGTTGCAGTGGGGACCACAGACCTCAGCTTGCCAGGGCAGGAGAGGGTGATTAATTAACTGGGGATGGCCCAGATCGTGTCAAAGAGCACTCCCAGGTTCCCCCTGCTGCCCCCAGCCAAGGGGCTGGGAAGGAGGTGATGCCCTGGGCCACCAGCAGCTCCCTGGCTCGGTGCCACCAGCGTGACTCGCTCTGCCAGGGTGTCTCCTGATGCTGAGGGGGTTTGGAGTCTCTATCAGGTCTCCCCCTGACCTAAGTCCCCTCCCTGCTGAGTCAGCTGGAATTTGTGAGCTGGGAAGTTTCTCACAGGGTGACTGGGAAGGTTCTGGTAAATATTGACCATTACGACAGTGGCCAAACAGCCCAGCACGTGAGTCCTGCTCAGCCTCCAGGAAATGGGCTTTGCTGGAAAAGCTGGGATGAGCTTTTCTGTGAGCACTGCATGGTGCCAGCCCCAGCTCCTCCCACCTCTGCTCCCACCAGCTGACACCCAGACCACGGCAAGCACTCCCAAACCACCCTCGGGCTGATCATGAGGTATTTCACCTTTTCAGCTAATTGAAGTCCAGAGGATGAAAACAAAACCCCTTTTGGTTTCCACTGAAGTTTCCAAAGCCTGGAGAGAGAAGAGGAAGAATCAGCAGCGTGAGCTTTTTTCCTGATGGTTTTAAATGACTCTTCCCTCATAAACTCTGGCTGAGGACAGCACATGGTAACATCCAAAAGTGGATGCAGTGCTCTCGCAGGATGACTCAGATATTTAGTACACAGAAGATAATTTTCCAAATGCTTACAAGCACTACATAGAAAGCCCAAGCCCACGCTGCCCTCCACATCAGGCTGTTAAATTATTAAAATGGGATAGACCCCATGGTTTAAAGTGCTGAGGTGGGTTAGGTCGGTGCCGTGGGCTCCTTGGCCACCTCTCACCACAGCCAGGTGTGGCAGTGACTCAGCTGGTGGTGATGCCTCAAAGCAGTGCTGGCGGCAGGAGCTGACGTGCTCCCGGCCTGCTCGTCACAGGAGCTGTCAGGACACGTCCCTCTCTTTGGGAGGAGAGTGCTGGTCCAGCTCCAAGGGCTTGGAGAAGGTTTAGGTGAGTGACTAATGTGAGTGGAAGGAGTCAGTAGGAGTTTTTTTCTGGTGAGGTCACATGTCGGTGGCTCACGCCTTGACCTCGCAAGCGCAGAGAGTCGCGATTGCCGGAGGAGAGCAAGGGGGGGATTCTCTGAGGTGTGCAGGGGGATGCAGAGGGGATGGAACCAATGCAAGCACATAATCCACCTTGTGAAAGCAGCCTGCAGCCCTCTCGGCCCTGGGGTTGCCACCTCGTCACAAGTTGGGTAAATTCACTCTCCTGCCTGCAGATTTCCCCATGTTTTCGTCCTTGTCCCCACCCTACCGTGTCACTCAGCGGTGACAGTGGGCTGAGCCCCCCCAACACTGTGGGAAAGGACTCAGGGAGTGCTGGCACACACCAAACTTGAAATTCTCCCGTCACTATTCCAGAGGCGCTGATTTTATCTTGTTTTGAAGCACATTTTTAATCTTTCTGCTCTGATGAGCAGTGACAGACAGGGAATGGCTGGAGCTGTGTCAGGGGGTTTAGTTTGGATATTAGGAAATGGTTTTTCACCCAAAGGATGGTTGGGCACAGAACAGGCTCCCCAGGGTCACAGCCCCAAGGCTGCCAGAGTTCAACAGGCATTTGGACAATGCTCTCAGGCACATGCTGGGATTGTTGGGGTGTCCTGTGCAGGGCCAGGAGTCAGTCGTGATGATCTTTGTGGATCCTTCCAGCTCAGGATATTCCATGATTCTATTTGGTCAGACACTTTTTGGCCCCCCCTGACCTGGCTCCCAAGGTACTCAGACTGTAATGCTCAGGTTCTGGGCACTGTCTGCCCTTTAACTTGAATAAAATCAGAAAACCTTCTGATGCCCTTGAACTTACAGGAGTTTTCTGGGTGACACAGTCATGGCCACAGCTAAAATATCTGTACAACACCCTCGCTGCTTAGAACCACAAGCCCTTGGTGTGTTATTGTTTGGGTCAATGGGAGACTTCCCTGAGCAACAGTTTGCTTGCCCTTGAAAACAAAGGCTTTTTCCAGTTACACAATGCCTAGGGAGAGAGGGCAGAAAACCTGCTGTGTCTAAGTGACTAAGCAGTATTGGGGATTCCAGACCTCACAGTGCCATGGGGATGTGGGGAGAACTGAGGTCCCCATTGTGGTGGCTTTTGTCACTGCTCCCCCAGGAAGAGCACTGGACACCCAGTGCATCAGGATCCTGGTGTGCTCTGAGGCTCTCCCACGTGCTCTGAACACAGAGGAGCTCCAGCAGTGTGGTGCCTTAGCTGTAAGATGGGAGTGGAGCCAGGAGGCTTGATCATTTTCCTATGGAAACACAGGGAATGATGACTTCCCAGCTATTGCTGTGAAGACATGAGCTCAGAGACGATGTGTGTTGGGTGGTCAGTGCTGCATGTGGGCTTCAGGGGGCTTTTGACTGGGAAGCATAAGGGACCAGATAAAGGTCTGGAGAGTCCAGATTGGCTTCAGGGACTTGCTCCAACATGCTTGTTCAGCCTCGGTCAGATCACACAGATTCCCTGCTGCTGGTTTTCATTTCTGCCTCTACTTCCTCCTGTGATTCTGGAGCTTGGGAGGTGATTTATTGGACTTGGTCTTCCCATAAGTTAAGACTAGAGTTCTTTAGCTGGGAAACTCGCTGGGTAATAACAGGAGTGTACATTCCCCATTCCATGACTCTGAATCTGAAAGGACAAAGTAGCTCTGACAAGATCAACCCCAAGTTCTTCTTTCGCGCAGTTTCACGTGTTGTGCGTGCTGTCACGTCACAACCTTGCCTGTGATTCAGCACCTCTTGTTTACAGAGATCCCCTTTGATACACCAGATGCACTCACGAGATAGTTACTGGCCTTTCACAGCCTGTGGTGTTGAGCTATCCCATGATTCTGCCTCTTCTCGTGGCATGGAGATGAGCTGTCAAAATTTCCACCACTCTGAGGATGTGGGTGCAGACCTGGGAGAGCTTAATCTTTCAGTTGGTTTTGGTTCAGCTGTTGCCCTTCTCCAGGAAACCACAGCTGCCTTCACCCCACTGCTTGTCCTGTCACAGTGTGGTGGTGGATATTGGGGTTATCACACGTAACCGCAAACATTTAATGTAAAAATAAGCCTTGTTTGTGTCAGAGGGGTAAAATCTTTCAGCAGGGCAGGACACCCCTCCATATCCCCCAGGTCCTCTTGTTCCCCTGGCAGAAGAGCCCTTCTGAAGGGCTTTGGTGACAAAACCCAGCAAAAGCTCAGCATGGAGCAGGACTTGGTGATGTTTGTGGATTCCTTCCAGCTCAGGGTGTTTTCTGATTCTTTGAATTGCCGCTGCATTCCTTTGCCTGTTACTGTTACTGGAGGTGCTGTTCGTAATAAACCAGCTTCAGGGAACAACAAATTCCTTATTCCTCCCTATGATTGCCTTATAGAACCCCTTTATTCTTTGGGGGAGCGTGACTCGAAAAAGAAAATTCTGAAGGAAATCTCTAATGAGACAGTGTCAGCTTCTTTGTCTTCTGAGAATTGGCAGAGGAGTTCCTGGCTTTGAACTGAACCGGAACACAACAGAAGCAACTCCAGAGGTTTCTGTTTCAGGAAAACACTTAAAAATACATTTAATTTCACAGTGAATTTAGTTTACCCTCAGAGCAGTTCTTTTGGTAGGTACTGAATACAGATGGCTTAAGGCTGCACTGGGTCGGAGGTTTGGCTGGATTAGTTCCTCCAAATGTTTAGCACGAAATGCATTCAGCTGAAGGACGTGCCCTTCAAAGGATGGAGAATCACAGAATCCCTGCTTGGAAGGCACCTCCAGGATCGTCTGGTCCAACCTTTCCTGGCAAAAGCACAGCCTAGACAAGAGGGCCCAAACACAAAAAGCAGTTACTACTGATGAGCTAATAGTGTTAAAGAGTGCAACCAAGAAGGAATGAGGAGATTCCTGCCTCCAGAAAGTGATGGCATGTGTTTAAAAATAAATGTCAGGTAGAATTCTAGCACAGTGTAATTAAGTGCCAACATTCCTCCTCTCCTTGTTTCCACTTAACGACCTTATGGGAAAACTTGAGCTCATTTTTTCCCTGGTAATGTTGCACATTGTGCTGTCCATGTTTTCCGTGCCAGATCTCTGTAGTTTTCCATGAAGTCTGATTCTTTTTAGTACCAATTTGTTGCTTTACCAGGAATTTTAAGCATCACTTCCTTCTAAGGTAACTGGTGTCGGGAGTGAAGGCTTGTGATGGGATGTAAGTTGTGCAGATGAAGTTGTGTGAGAGCAGACACTACTGACAGCTGGGACTGGAGCCTCATGAAGGTGGTTTGGGAATAAAAAAGGGCAAAGTGCGTTCAAAGAAATTAATGGAAAGCCCCCAGGAGTTGTCATGAAAGCTGGTTTTACCAGAGGAGCAGAGAAACGACCCTAAGGGATTTCAGAAGCACAAGGAACAAAACCCAAGGGCAATGCTGCAGAAAATGCCCAAGGTCCAGGAAAAAAATAACTGCGTTATCCACCAGGAATGTTTTACTTGGGATTTCCAATGGGTGTAATATTCCATTGTGAAAAAGCACCTGCCCTGGTTTCTCTGACATCATTGGTCCTGATAAGAGCTCAGCAGAGGGCAGTGGCTCTTCCCCCCTCCCCATTGCCTCTTATCTCCCTGGAGGGAGATTTCAGACACATTTGAATAGAAAACTGTGCCAGAAGGGAATTTTGAGAGGGCACCTGACCTAGAAACTGGGTCAACATGGCAGGGTCAATTCAGCCTGTCTTTCTCCATTGTCCAAATTACTTTTGGGAAACCTACAAATACTGAGGAGTTTGAAAACAATCCCAAGGCTGAAGGAAACTCAGCTTGTGGCGCTGCTTTGGGTAAAAGCTGAAGACCAGCAGCAGAGCTGGATGTAGAGGCCTGACATCATCTCATGTCCTCCACGTGTTGATACTGCTGGCTGTGGCTGCCAGGAATCACCATCCACATTTTTTTAATTTCAAGGGATAACTGCCAAGAGCAGTGACAGTACCACTCTTTACCTTCTTTAGCAGTCCCCTCTCGAAGTTCTCTCCGTGAATCAACACCGCTTGCCAGCAGAGACATCCCAGGATACCCTTCCAAAATACGGTGAAATGCCCACATCAACTCAGAACCCTGTGAATACTTAAATGCAGCTTTTTAGCTGAGGAATGCTCTCGGTCAGTAAATCATGAGCAGTTCTGGAAATCATGACTAACCCAACAGTCTCATGCTCAGCTAAAACATCATCGCTGAGGAGGCTCACTCGAGATTGTGATCTGTGTGTGTAACAGCAGATCCTTTCCCTAAACAAACTGATGGACGTGCTGGATGTGTCAGCAGTACAGAATTAGGATCTTAACGAAGAAAAGACTAAAGATAGCTCAATTAGGAATAAAGCCACCCTGCAGCACTGGATGTTAAGGCCCACTTCTTTATGATGGGCTGATTTCAGTTCAGCAGAGTAGGAAGGGTGGCCAGGGCACAGGCCCCAGACAGCCTCTGCTTGCTTCACCTTCACCACATGTTACTGGCCAGAGCCTGAACTAAGATAATGGACTTAACATGAAGCTGTGTCTGATTTGTCCTGGTATTTTCCCCCTGGTTCTGTGGGACAGGATGTCCTGGGAAGTGGGATAAGCCCTGACATCAGCACTCCCGAGACGTCCCTGAGTGAGGACAGGACGGGATTAGGCTGTACCAGCCAAAATGTCGTCACTCTGTGTCTTCTCAGAGTTCCAAATGAAGATAGGATTGCCAGCAGACTCACTGGGATTCTAAAAAGCCTCAGAAGGGTTTTTTAGCTCTTGCCTCCCGCTGCTCCCAGATAATAAATCTTCGCGTAGGAAATTCCAGATGGGTGAGAGAAATGCAACCATCTGCCAATGCTCAAATATGGCAAGTGCAGTCACTGCTGAGCTTATTAGACAACCACCTTTATCTCATGTGCAGCATGATAACAGGGATTACTGAGTGCATGTGAGGAATCTCTTTCACCTTGGGAAGACAAAGCAGCTCTTCAGAGAAGTGCATTGGTGTGAGCTGGCACGGGCGAAGTGGGCCCGATGCAAACGTATCAAAAATCTGAAGACCTGATTTCAACTGAACTGTTCAGAAATGTCCTTGCTCTGGTTGAAGTCTGGTGGTGTGGGTCACTTAAGCGGTTTAGATAAGTCTGTGCTTCCTGTAAGTCTAAAATGGGATAAATTATTAAAGTTATGATCAAAATACAAAAAATGTCCCACCTGGTACCTGCCCTGGAAGCTTTGAATTAGAGTGAACTTTTCACTGCTGGTTTCAGAGAAATCCTCCCTGGTTTGTTATGACCATCACATATCTACCACAGCTCAGGCATGTCTGTGGGAGAAAGGCTCTCCCATGCCTGAGAACTTGAAATCCTGAGGTCAAAACATTTCATTTCATTTAAGACCCCCTGCTGATATGGGCAACAAAGCAGTCTGTGTCTAGGAACTGTTTTTTCCCCTCCTCGTCTCCCAGGGAATAGGGAGATCAAGAGATTTTTTGAAAAGAGTATGTGCAAAGCTTGGAAAGCCCCTGGTATCCCACAAGGCAGACATTTCAAGCTAATTGACAAAAGTGATTTCTCTCTCAGCAAGGTACTTTTGTTCCCTGGTTACTGCTTTACATCTTAATTGTCAGTACCAACCCTATCTACCAAAACAGCCAGGGCCACAAAGTCACCTGGAAAACAGTCAGGCTCTCCAAGGTAGTCCAGTGAGAGAGATTTCCCTGACAATCAGTGGTCACTGGGTCTCCAAAACTTTTGTACTCTTGAAAATCTCAGCCCTACATCACGTGCAGCACCCAAAGTGCCATCTCCTACAGCGGGTGAGTGATCTCTGACAGATCCTCCACGTTCACAGAGCACACCAAGAAACCTGACTGGGTCAGTAGGTCTGCAGGAGCCTTACTTCTCTTAGGTGAGGAAAAGCAGGATTCTGCTTCCCAGTTTGCAACTATTTCCACTGACTTCATGTGCTTAAGGACACAGCCCAGCTGCCCTTTGACCCAAATGTGAGTGAATGAATGTTCTTTCTCCAAAAAAAAAAAAAAATCTGCAGTGAGTTGCACACAGAAAGTTCTTTGACACACACCAGCTCAGAGACTTTAAACAAACACTGCTGACATGCTCAAGTTCAGCTTGATTAATGGTCCCTTCATTTTGTGAGCAAACAGCACCAGGAGTAACTAAAAAAGGCCAGGAGAAACACCCACTGCCAAATCACCACCAAACCCATGCAAAAGGAGATACTCAGGGAAATATAAGTGATACATCAGCAGATCTGGCTGAGTAGGTGAGCTAAGAACTGAGCACTGTTTGACTCTGAGTGCTGCCTTTCTGTTCTTTCTTACCTTTCAAAAAAACTAGAGGGCCAAGTTCTGCTATTCCCAAACATCACTTGTTTCAGCCAGAGAAGTTCAAAGGAGTAGGAAGCTTTATTGCATACTGATTTCTCCCTGCCTAGAGGTTCTGGTTTTGGCCGAGAAGGATCACAGAGAGGGCCCCGATTCATTCCAGTTACAGAAGATCCCAATTACTCTTAGGATTAGAGAGAATGCACAAAGAGATTGGCAGTCAGAGCAGGGCAGTGCTTCTGGAGTCCGTGTCCTGGCAGGAATACCCATTGCAACCAGTGCACAACTGTGCAGTTGGATCCGATGGTCTTCGAGGTCGTTTCCAACCTTAACAATTCCATGATCCTACGACCACTGTGCAGTTGCTTCCACGCCTGAATTTACCACAGGTCAAAGTTACAAGTCCTCACGCCCACTGAAAATCAAGTTGTAACCAACACTGTCTCTCCCCACTACACAAACAGCAGCATCACAGGGCCAGTGACACCCTGCAGACATCACGGGGCTGCAGCAGCAAGGGAGCTTCTCAGTCAGGAGGGACAGCCATTCCCCAGGCTGTTCCTCCCCTCCCACATTCACCTACACAGTTCCTTCAGGAGTTCCTTCATGCCACTGGCCTCCAGCCTGTTAAGACTAACAAATCAGGAATCACAAAGTAAAACAGTAGAAAATCAAGTCCTTTGCATCTGCAACAATGTGTAGGTTGCTACATAGGATGCTCTCAAGCCAAAGACTTAATACTTAATGTAAGAGATTCCCACCCCCCACCCAGTTGGAATCCTTGGCTCAAGTTTTTTTTAGACACAGAAGGAGAATATTTGTCTCCAAACTCAGGGAAGAATCAGGCGTAATAGGAATCCAGTGGATCACCTTCTTTAAAGGGAACACAAAACTGTGTGGAAAAAGACTGTCTGTTCCTTGGCTGCCTTGGAATTCCTTACGTGATGTCCTTCTTCCTTGGGGGCCGGTGGATGTTCCTCACCACGCACTTCACCATCCATTCAATTCCTTCGTTCACCCCTTTGCTAAGGAAGGAAGATAAACAGATAAGGTTGTAAAATAAACCAACAACAAGAAGCAAACAAGAACAGAAACCTGGTTCAGGCAGGCCCTGAGCCCTTACAGGAGAAAGGGAAGGGCTCTGCCCTGCTGTTATTTATTGCCGTTGCTGTGTTATTTCTCATAGAGCCAAACAATAGGGATCTGATTTCTTCTAACTCAGCATATAAAATCCATCCTTTATTTTTCTGGTGTCTGTACGTGTCTACAGCCAATTTAGTCACCAACTCTGTGGAAACCTTGGGATGAACAAGCATCAAACACACCTGACAGCTGGTCTGAGGTTATTTTGCCACAAACCTCACATTAGTTGCATCAGATCTTGCAATCCTGGTTCCATCTTTCTGTTAACAATCTGTGCTGGGGTTGCCAAGCAAGTCACCCCCTCGCTGGTCTGCACAGCTCCCCAGTCAGGGTTTCCACAAGTTATTTGTTGTTTTAGTGCAAGCTCAAACTGGAATTTTGAAAGGAAATTCCACACAGACCAAAACTCGAAGTGTTTGAAAAGGTTGCTTCTCATCTAATACTTCTCTTCCAGTCAGTGCTTAAACATTGCTCTTCTGGTCACTTATCTGCTTAATGGCACGTGTTTTTTGTAGCAATGCAGACAACAGATTTTTACTGTGGTTTAGGAGGTTTTTTAAGAGGGGTTTTTTCATGGTTTTCAGAGGGTTTTTTTTTGCAGTAGCTCGTACAATAACACAGATTTCTTGCTAGATTTAGAAGAAATCTCAAAGCTCTGGATTTAGCACAGGCAGAAATTCAGCCAGGAGTGTTTCTGCCATCTGGAACAGAACTTTCAACTTGCAGCAAACAGCACTTTTCACTCAGAGAACTGAAAGTGTAACCAAAGGATTGCAAGACTCGAGGTGCAGCAGCGACGCCGAGATATCAAGAACCCAGTGGGTTGGTCAAGGTCGTGGCATGCAGCTGTGTACACTCAGATTTTGGTCTGTTTGAGTCATCAGATTTTGAACCACAGGCATCCCTGTGTAAGGACTCTCTTGGAGACTGTTATATTACCCACATCATAAAGCTCATCAAAGAATATGAAAGCGAGAGCATAATTACAGCAGCAGAGCACTACCCATTTCTCTGGCAGTGACATCAACAGCTGCATTTTCAACTGACCCCTTAACCTAAAAGCCAAGAGCTGCAGCAAGCCAGCATCTGCAAGGATTATTGTGTGTGGAGAAGTCTGCTGCTCTCAGCCAGCAGTACATTTCCATCGGGTTTCACTGGCAGGATTTACAGATGAAGTTACTGACCTGGTGCACGTCCAGGGTTCACAAACAAGTCAGAGCTGGGAGGAAGCGCAGCTCCCTTTCAGGGGTTTAATAAATCCTGTAATGCTGCTCTGTGTGTGACACCCCACAGCTGCTCAGTCAACCAAAGCTCCATCCATCCTCATACTCACCCAGTCAGGGCTG